CAGCAGCTCCACCACCTCCTGCACAGCAACCATAGGCAGGAGGGCCAAGGGTGGTTAATGTGATCCACTCAAGGGTCAATGAGAACGAAGTCAGAGGAGAAATCCAGAGGGTAAGGCATTTACAACATGTCTACCAAATCGGGGAAAAAAGACCTCGGCATGAAAAAAGCCAAGGACCAATGATAACCTTCACCGAAGCCGACCTAGAGATGGTCCAACATTCGCATAATGATGCCTTGGTAGTATCCCTCCAGGTTGGGGAATGCCAAGTAAAACGCATCCTAATAGATCAAGGCAGCTCTTGTGACATCATGTATATCAGATGTTACAAGGAGCTGGGCCTTCATCCTGACGACCTGGAACAATCCAACAACCCTATGGTCGGCTTCAATGGAACGCCGACATGGCCACTGGGCGCAGCAAGCGTGGAAGTACAAGCTGGTACTAAGAAGATCAAAACAGAATTTATGGTGATTGACACACCCTCACTATATAACATCATCTTGGGAAGACCATGGTTGCATGCGATGGGGGCAGTTCCCTCAACATTGCATCAACTACTACGGTTCCCCACAGAACATGGAATTGAAGAAGTCAGAGGAGATCAACTGCAGGCAAAAAGTTGCTCCATGGCAGCAACAAAGTCCACTTGCAACATTCGAGATCCAAAAGAGGCAGAAATTGAAAACGAGGACATGGAGGTCCTAGATGATGTCGGCAAGGAGCCAACCAAAAAAAGTGAAGAGACACTAAAAAAAATCCTAGTCCAGGAGGGCGACGAAGAACGTTTCTTTCTTCTCGGTTCGGGCTTAGCCGAAGAAGAGGAAAGAGAAATGGAAGATTTTTTGAGAGCCAACATTGAGGTGTTCGCCTGGACACCTTATGAAATGCCTAGCATTGACCCCGAGGTCACTTGCCACAGGCTAAATGTCGACAGGTCAGCAAAACCTGTGATTCAACGAGCCAGAAGACCAACGTTGATGCACGTCGAAGCAGTAGAAGAAGAAGTAGACAAACTTCTGGAAGCCAGGGCCATCCGAGAAGTTCACTATCCGACATGGCTGTCCAACACAGTAGTAGTGAAAAAGAAGAACGGTAAATGGAGGGTCTGTGTAGATTTTACCAGCCTCAACAAAGCCTGCCCCAAAGACAGCTTTCCTCTGCCCAAGATCGAGCAGCTAATAGATGCAACTTCAGGGCATGAAAGGATGAGTTTTCTAGATGCATACAAGGGGTACCACCAGATTGCCATGTACCCTCCAGACGAGGAGAAGACTGCGTTCATCACCCCTAAAGGCTTGTACTGTTACAAGGTAATGCCTTTTGGGTTGAAAAACGCAGGAGCAACTTACCAAAGGTTAGTAACAAAGATGTTCAAGCACCTGATTGGCAAAACGGTAGAAGTCTACATCGATGACATGGTCGTGAAGACCAAAAAATCTAAGGGACATCTTGCTGACCTAAAAGAGATCTTTGATATACTCAAAACATACCGGCTCCGACTCAACGCATCAAAGTGCGCATTTGGAGTTGGATCAGGTAAGTTTCTAGGGTATCTGGTAACAAGAAAGGGTATAGAGGCCAGCCCAGACCAAATCAAGGCCATCCTAGAGCTACAGAGCCTGATGTCGATGAAACAGGTTCAGATGCTTACTGGAAGGGCCGCAGCCCTAAACAGATTCATTAGCAGAAGCTCAGATAAATGCAGACCCTTCTTCAACTTGGTGAAAAAAGCCACAGACTTTCTGTGGACAGAAGAATGCGAAGCCGCTCTAGCCGACCTAAAGAAATACTTGACCACAACTCCGGTTCTTTCCAATCCAGAACCAGGGGAAGAACTATTTTTGTACTTGGCAGTTTCAAAACACGCAGTAAGTGCAGTACTAATCCAAGAAGAAAAAGGCGAGCAAAAGGTGGTCTATTATGTAAGCAAAACCTTGGCCGATGCAGAAACAAGGTATCTACCACTAGAGAAATTAATGCTGGCCTTAGTAATGGCTTCAAAGAAGTTGAACCATTATTTTCAGGCGCACAAGATTGTGGTCCTAACAGAGCACCCACTGAAGTCCTTGTTGCAACAAGGAGACTTAACAGGAAGGATAGCAAGATGGGCAGTGGCCCTGGGCCAATATGACCTGGAGTTCAGGCCGAGAACAGCAATAAAGGGCCAAGTTTTGGCCGACTTCGTGGCAGAATTCACACTTGAAACCATCGAACATCGGGCTCCATTGAGCCGAGATGAGCAGTATCCCAGCAAGCAAAGAGAAGCCCAGCCAAAGGCAAAAGAGCAAAGGAAGGAAAAACTCAAACCCTGCAGCATCTACATCGGCGATTCATTCAGACCATTCGTCGATGGAAGTTCAAACCGTCAAGGAGCGAGGGCAGGAGTACTACTGATAGCTCCAGATGGAGAAATAATAGAACAGTCCATCCGTTTGGGGTTCAAGGCCTCAAACAATGAAGCGGAGTACGAAGCATTAATTGCAGGGCTAAAACTGGCAGTAGCAGCAGAAGCAGATGAGGTAATTATTTTTTGTGATTCACAACTTATTGTTAACCAGTCAACAGGAGAATTTGCAGCCAGAGACGAAAGGATGTCGGCATATGCAAAAGAGGTCATCAGATTGGCAGCCTTTTTTCAGAACTGCCGACTACTGCAAGTCAGCCGAGATGACAACACCCACGCCGACGCGTTGGCTTACCTGGCAAGTTCAATACAGACTGGAAAAACAAGAACAATTATGATCGACTATATGTCGGGCCCGAGCATAGAATCAGAAAGCACAAAGCAGCAAGCAATGTGTGTGGACATGGGGCCAAGCTGGATGGATGTAATTATTGCATTCCTGAAAGAAGGAAAGTTGCCAGAAGATCGTAAGGAGGCACATAAAGTCAGATTGAAATCTGCAAGATTCTGTTTGACAGAAGATGGACATCTTTATAGAAGATCCTTCACTGGACCCCTTTTAAGGTGCGTACACCCTTTGCAGGTTGAAGATTTCCTATATGAAATTCATGAAGGAATTTGTGGAAACCATGCTGGGGGCAGATCATTAGCCCACAGGGCCATTACCCAGGGGTATTGGTGGCCCTACATGGAAAAGGATGCTGAAGCCTACGTGAAGAAGTGTGAACAATGCCAAAGGTTCGCACCTTTGATACATCAGCCAGCTGCAGACCTAAACCCAGTGTCCAGCCCTTGGCCGTTTGCCCAATGGGGCATAGATCTGGTTGGGAAACTTCCCCAGGCAACTGGGTAGAGAAATACTTGCTGGTGGCAACAGATTACTTTACCAAATGGATAGAGGCAGAACCTCTTGCCAAAATCCGAGATGTGGACGTCAAGAACTTTATATGGAGAAACATCATCACCAGATTTGGCATTCCAAGAGCAATAGTTGCCGACAACGGAACACAGTTTGACAGCAAACTCATCAAGAACTTTTGTGCCAAATTCAAGAACAAGAACTACTTTTCAACACCAAGTTTTCCCCAAAGTAATGGTCAAGCAGAAGCATCCAACAAAGTAATTTTGGATGGAATAAAGAAGAGGCTACAGGCAGCAAAAGGAAAGTGGGTAGACGAGTTGCCCAACGTGCTTTGGGCATATCGGACTACGCCGAGAAGATCAACAGGGGAATCCCCCTTTGCCATGGCTTATGGCACAGAAGCTGTCATCCCATTGGAGATCGGCATCCTAGGGATCAGGACCCAGGGAGTAGAGAATGGCACTAACGACATAGTCTTAGCCCGAGATCTGGACCTCTTGGAAGAACAAAGAGAAAAGGCTACAATTCAGCTAGCAATATACCAGCAGCAGCTTGCTAAAGCTTACAACAAAAAGGTAAATCCAAGAGATTTTCAAGTCGGCGACCTAGTCTTGAGAAAAGTTGTCGGGAACAAAAAGGATCCCAGAGAGGGCAAGCTTGGCCCAAACTGGGAAGGACCCTACAGAATTACTTCGGTATTAGGCAATGGAGCTTATCGGCTTGAAGATAACGAGGGCAAAGCACTGCCAAGACCTTGGAACACTTGTAATTTGAAATTCTTGTATCATTAGATGTGCAGTATTTTTTGCCGATGTCTTTAATAAAGTTTTTTCAAGAATTCTTTCAACACATATGACTGATAAAATTACATACTGATGTTTTCTGGAGGCATGAATAATAAGAACCCAAGTAGAACTCAGGTTCACATTGGGGGCAGAAAGAAGAAGAATGCGTTTACCACTTGTTGAAATTTGTAGCAATTTACAAGTTGAAGATAAGCCGAGATTACTGTTTCTCTTCACTTGTTGAAATTTGCAGCAATTTACAAATCGAAGTAAAGCCGAGGTTATAGTTTGCAACTTATAGCAATCTACAGGTTGATCCAACCAAAAAAGATGCTTAACACTTGTTGAAATTCGTAGCAATTTACAAGATAATGTTAAGCCGGCATGTGATCATCCGTTGAAATTTACAGCAATTCACAGATTGAAGTAAAAGTTAAGTATATTGTTCAAACACTTGTTGAAATTTGCAGCAATTTACAAGTAGACCATTATTTAACACTTGTTATAACTTGCGAACAGTTTACAGTATATGTTAACACTTGTTGAAATTTGTAGCAATTTACAAGTAGGTTAGACCGAGATCACTATTTACATATTTGTTGAAACTTGAGAAGAAATTTGCAGAGTTAATATTGAATAGTATATGTTAAACACATGTTGGAATTTATCAAGAGCTTTCAGGTCTGTATCATGCCGAAGTAAAGTTGGATGATTGATGTACCCGAGGTGTGTAACCCCGAGGAGATTGCACAAAGTGGCAAAATATAGAAGGCATACAACCATGCAGAAGCAAATCAAAGAGGAATTAAAAGATTGAAGCATCCATAAAAAGAAAAAAAAAATTTCAGTTACATACAGAGAAAGGCACATCGGCCATAAAAGGAAGTTTACATTGTTCAGAAAATAAAACAGAGTATAAAAAGGCAAGGAAATAAAGACATTCAAATCAGGATTCTTCAGCATTAACAGCTAGGGGCGCTGGGACCTCGGAAGATTCTAGTGGAACCTCCTCGGCAATCTTTTCTGCTTCAATCTCGGCGTCAATCTCTGCAAGAGTTTCATCAAGACTTTTTTCGGCTGGAGGAATGTCGGAAGATGCCTGTTCAGGAGTTGCCTCCTTAATAACCTCCTCATCCTCTTCATGAGTCAGGTCTAGGATTTGATCGTCTTAAGGAAAAGATTGGGTCTCATTGGCATCCTTAGGCTTCCTTACTAGAGCATCACCATCATCCTTATCCTCATCTTCGGCTTCAGACTCAGACTCAGATTCCTCTTCAGCCTGATTTGGAGGTGGAAGAGGAGGAAATGGAAGAGGAATAGCTTCAGCCTTACGCAACGGCGAGTCATCTGGGATATTGAGTTTTTTGGCAAGGGCCATCCAACCGAGGGAGAAGCCCCTGTTGCATGCCTGCCTAACTTGAAGTTTGTATTCCTCAGTGACGTCGGCCATACCCTGGGCGTAGGCCTTCTCATCGACTTCTTTGATTTCGGCCTTTTTTGTGGCCAGAGCCTCCTGAAGCTCTTTCTCAGCCTGAACCATTTTTGATTTAAACTCCTTCTTTTCAACTTCGGCAACCTTGTTAATAGCCTCAGCAGACTCCGCTTTTTCTTCGGCCATCCGCTGGGCCTTAGTAGCGGCCTCGGCCTGATCTTCCAATTTCTTCATCTTTGATTCAAGAGATTTACTATCCTTTTTTAGGGCAGAAAACTCCCTCTTCAAGTCGACCACTCTTTGCCGATTTTCAAAAGATTGCATCGAAAACGAATGGGCGTGCTGGATGGCCTGAAAGAAAACAAAAGTGTTAGAAAATCTTCTAAGTATGAAGCAGAAAGAAAAGACAAAACAAGAAACACTTACTTGAACGGAGTGCTGGAGCATTAGCGCGTAGTTTTCGTACTCGCTGTACCTAGCATTTTGCTCCAGATCGCTTGGAAGAAGAAGAGCAGTACTGAGGGTGACACCGACATTAATGTCGTCGGCACTCTCAGTTGACATAATTGGCCTATCCTCCAAAGTCAACTTTGGTGCCCAGGGGACATCAGGTTTCTTGGACCCCGAAGTTGTAGCTGAGGCAGACCTCGGCTTCTTTGATTGGGTGGACTCGGAGGGCTGGGTCTCGGTAGACCTTTTTGCAGGAGCAGAAGAAGTCTTCTTACTCTCAGCCAGTTTTGATATAGGCAAACTATCCTCAGCCTCAACAGCCTTGGCCTTAGGCTGGGCCTTCTTGATTCTTTTTGGCTTCGGTGGGGGCATTGGTTGGGATGGTACAATATCAGCATCAGTCGGGAGGTCGGCAAGGAGATTTTGGGCAATTGGCTTTGCACGACCCATTTCGGCAGTTTTGACAAGGCGTCGCCAACGTTTTCTTTCTGCTATTGGGATCAAGTATGGGGCCGAAGTGGATGGTTGATTGGTTGGGTCAGATGTGGACTCTTGATCTGTTCCGGATGAAGAAGCAGTTATAGTTATGGCAGTAGGTGGAGAGAGGCTCTTCTTCTTTTTCTTCGGGACGTCGGGCAATGTGGATTTGTATGTCGGAATAAAGTTTAGTAACAGTGGAGCTTTGCGCTTGTGGATTGGAAGATCAAGAAGCTTCTTTAAATCTTTTCTTGGGAAGTACGATTGGCGAAAGTTTTTTGGTGGCTGATGAAGATCTGCAGGACAAACAAACAGGCATTAGAAACAAACAAAATTTTGAAGACTTGGAAAAGAAATAACTAAGTATTGATGCTGGGCTCTTACCCTTGTCCTCTTTAACTGTTCGAGGAAGAGGGTAGAGGTGAACATCTTCGTCTGGACCAAATTCCCAATTTCCCGAGGCAATGACAAAGTCATCCCCGGCTCCCTTGTTGGAGTCCGGGAGGTCGGCTACAATTTTGAATTCAGTAGACCTCGGCTTGAGGTATTAGACGTAACCTCTTTCCTTCAGGTTAAGGGGGCACATGGTATAACAATATTGTACATCGGCAAGGGTGATCCTAACATTTTCCTGCCTAGTTAGGGCTATGATACCATTAATCACTCGATAGGAGTTGATGGTAAGTTGCATGGGTTTCAACTTATAGAAGTGGAGAACCTCACGAAAAAGGGGATTGAGTGGAAGCCGGAGTCCGCACTCAGTAAAAGCTATTATAGGAAAGGGCATTGAATTATCCGTGGGCATGATAGAGTCATTATCTTCAGCCAGCCTCAGGTGGACATCGGCAGGAATAGAGAATTCTTGCCTAAAAAATTAAAGTTTACTTGGGGTGTTTACCCGGTGTCTCCACATACCCATTACGTCGGCTTAAACAAAGAAGGCTGTGTTTTAGAAGATAGGTGTTTCAGAAGGGTTGCTAGAACCTCGGTTTCAAACCTGGGTAAGGACTGGTAAGGTTTGTTTCAGTTTTTCCTAAAGATTGAAGGTTCTACAGACAAATCCCAAACCTAAAACTATAAAGACGAAGATCGAGGGCACAGATCTGGTAAAGACATAAAGAAACAGAGAACAAAGGCGAAGTTTCAGAAACAAAAACAGGGATGGGCTATCAAGAACACGAAGAATACAAAGGGTTAAGGGCCAAGAACAGTAGTAAAACAGTGCAAAGTGTTCATGGCATGTGAAAAATCATGAAATAAAATGCATTCAGGTGAATGATTCACAAATAATGCCTA